TGAGGTAAAGTTGATTTCAATTTAATCCAGTACAAAACTTGGTCAGTTTAAGCACATAATCTACTAAATAATTAAAGACAGACACTTTCCACTCTCTTCCTCTATTTAGAGGACATGCTAATTTGGATTAACCACATCGCAAATGTTCAGTAGTCACAGACTAGCAGTCACCACAGCAAACAGTACAGATCCAAAGGATCTCCTGACCTGAACGATGACGACCTTTGAACTCTGGTGCTTTAAAAAGGTGGAGTGTTTCTGAAATGCACCCTAAAAATATATCTTAGACTAGATAAAGGCATATGCAATTAATTACAGGTTTTTGTATTTCTGTAAGATGAGCAATAGGATTTATTTATGTAGAAAAAAAGTTATGTATCTTATTTTCCAGTAGTAAATCACTCACAACCTTACTGAGTTAAAAATCTTGATTCATGTGTATTATCCTTATATTTGATGCCAACACTAAGAAAGCCATGTCCCAAATATTAATGCGGCTGGCAATACAGAAGTGGGGTGGGAAGCACAGTTAGTGGCCAGTGAGTGGGTGGATGAGAAAAAGAAAAGTGGTGGCAGGACAGGCATTGCTTATTTATTTACATACAGTTTAAAACACAAGCAAATGGGCAATGAGCCTTATTGAACAGTGCTGGGAGTGGGAATGGAGCATGAGATTTACTCATCTGGTTTCAGTTAAAGAAACAAAGGCGATCAGAGGAGTAGAAACAAAACTGTAATTAAAACGTTCCTACCCTTGGCCAGCAATGGCTGAAGGCATAATCAGAGTGTGAGTGTGCTACTGCTAGGTAATGGCAGCTGTGCTAGGCACACTGGACTCACCCATACACACTCACCATTCCAGGCCCATGCATGAGTGCAGGGGATTATTTTTGCTTTCAAAGTCTGAGAAGGAGAGAGGAGATGGAGAGGCAGGCATGTTATAAATGTCAAGAGATGTTTTCTGTAATCTTATACCTCAGGCTCCACTGAGTATATAGAGCTAAATATCATACTTACTCTAGATTAAAGCAATCCATATACTACTTATTTAAATTGGTTAGCCAAGGCCCAAATTTCTTTATGGCATTCCTTTAAAGCCTCGACTTTGATGAAGTTTGGCCAAGAAATGGAACTGACAACTACACTTTGTAGCCTTGAATCCTGCAGGTTATTTTATAAAGAAAAAAAAAAAAAAAGAAAGAAAAGAAAAAAAAGAAAAGAAAAAAATCCCTAACAAACAAACAAACAAACAAACAACCCCTACCCCCAAAACCCAGACCTTCAAATCTGGAGGTTAGAGTTTCATCCTCACACACTAGGGGAACCATGGGGCACAAGGGCTCAAACTAGTTAGCCAGGACAGTGTTTATAGGGCTCCAATGGTGTTCTAGCTTTGACAAGCTCCACGTCAGTGCCATACCCACATCAGGCATAGAAACATCTAACACAGATGTGATCTTTATGTTAAAGAAATCAAGAACCATTGAGAACACCATGCAGTCAATGCACACTCAGTAAGAGGTCTTCTGACTGCTAACCTCCTCACCTGACCTTTCCAAGTCTAGCTGAGATAAAGATGCTGAGGCCACTCCCTGAAGGCAGTGTCTGTGTCTAGTATGAAGGCCAGATGAAATTGACCTCAAGTTTCACAGGAGTGGTTTTCAACTTCTGGCAGTAACATCTGTACCCTACACCAGGCTCAGGAACAGTACTGGGCATGACCAACCTTAGTCATCACTTTGGTAAGAGCTTTGGCACGGGCCATTGTTGCTAACCACCATCCTGGTGCAGGTCCTTCATATCTGCTCTCCTATGGATGAAAAAAGGAAGTGTCTAGTGTCCATGTCTTGGCCACATCACCTCCAATCCTATCCTCTATTCACATGCCTTTCTTTGTCGGTGCAGGAGATAGTGCTGAAAGGGTGATTAAGAAGAGTTCTGGCAAACACTGTAACAAATAGACACAGTAACACAGTGGACATAGCAAAGGCCTTGGTTTCTGGGAAATGAAGTTCCCAGCCTCACTTTATCATGGAGCTGGAGAGAAAATGCTTGGGTTTTGTAAAAAGCGTCAAAAGAAAATAGATTATCAGCAGCCATCAGCTTGGAATGTTTTGGGCATTTCTGTGGTCCTTCCATTTCCCACTGGTCAATGAGGTTAACATGCTTCTTGAGCTCTTTAGAAGAAAGATGCAGTATGTGAAGTCCAAAGACTTAAAAGGACTAAGTCTCTCTCCCTATAATGAATGGTCATTTCCATTTCTTTCTAGAATACTTCTTAAACCCTGATGGTCAGCTCACACCTCCTTTCCCTGAGAAAGACTCCTTGAGCCATTCAGACAGGATGAATTGCTCCTTTTCCCTAGGCACACACTTCAATACAGACCTTGTTTGTCACCGTTTCTACTTCGTATCCTGGAATAAACTATACATCCATTTCGCCCACTAGAATATGAGCTTTCCAAAGGCAGATACTGTCTCACTCCCCTCCAGATCTCCCTTGACCTCCTGGCTCACTGCTGTGTGCACGGAGCTGCTCAGTAAACGCTCCCTGTCAGGTGCTGAGCTTAAGTCTACCTGGCTTTATGGCATCTCATTGTTTTTCTTATTTTCTTAAAAAATAAGAAAAAGTGAAAAGAGAGATGAAACTTAAGACTAATGAATAACAGAGCACAACAAACATGAAAGACGCGTGAAGGATGGCTTCATTCTTTGCATTCTCACTCTGGAATGTGTACTGCTCACCTTCAGACAGCTGTCACTGATATTAGAGCAAATGTTAGAAAGCACACACAGGCAGACAATGTCAAACCACCACACATCATGCAAAAAGTCAACAAGACTTAGGACTAGTTTCAAGTTTACTTTCGCTTTAATGGCAAAATAGGTACCATCAAAGCCAACACAAGACACACTAGCTCTGCTTTCTACATGCAAGTACCACCTTCAGAATGAGCCAAGCACCTGCTGGGGTGCTCCTTGGTGAATGTATGTCTTCTTTGAGACACAGTTCAAATCAGGTGAAAGTTGGGTATTTTGGAATTGATGTTCATGTGTTTATTTATTTATTGGTAGCTTCTAAAATATGTATAAATAGTAGATTCCTTTGAGGTTAAAAGGAGAACTTCCTTGTTTTATATAAATAGGGTACCTTATGAAATTGGTGATGTCTCTAAGAACAAGCCAAGTACCCAGATTACACTGCATTATCTTGGGCAGTCTGCTCCTCATTTTCTATGTTTTGTTCTGAGACGTTTCCTTATGAAGGTTAAATGGGACACCAAATATAGCATCCTAGCTGCCAACAACTCGTATCATCACAACAAGAAATTTATATTCTTCAGTGATCTACTGTGTTGAAACACTAAGATTCTCTACTCAGGTCCTTACTAACAGTTTCCTTCCCAGCTTCCACCAGATGGATGCTACTGATTTCATTCTAATTCACTTATACCATCATGTTTCATTAGCTATACCAGAACTATCTGGATATATATATATATATATATATATATATATATATATATATATATATACACACACACACATATATATACATGTATATATGTATATACACATACACACATATATATATTGGAGGAAGGGTTGCTGAGGACTGAACCCAGGGCCTCTACTTTAGCACTAAACTCTTTCCCCAGCTACCAGATTTTATTTTTATATATTTACACAGAGCTTGTTATTCAGCTTAATATAGACAGGTCTGCTGCAGTAATGGTCTCTATGAGCATTATTATTTCCTTCTGGGAAAGAACTTGTTGTATAGAGGAGAACTGTTGTGTTAAGGAGAATGCATTCTGCGAACAAGCCAAATGTCTTTTGAATAGCACAAGCATAGTAGTAATTCTAATGCTGGGGAAGAACAAAAATTTAGATGGAGTGGCTACTAGTCACCAAGTTCTAGAATACTTTGTAGATAATGAAGCTACCTATTTTTAACCAGCTTCTACACATTACCACTGCTGCTGCAGAAAGCTTGAGACTACAGAGTGTCAAAATAGTCCTACCGGTACAATTCTGTCAACCCACAGCCCATCCATTTCTCAGTTTAGCTAAGCCTGCTACAAGTGTAACCTACGCTTCCCCATTAGATCCTCTCTTCTCAAGGCTGTTCTATCTTAATTGTTATTTCTCTTGATGGATGAATAGCAGCCTTTATGGTTATGTGAAAAATGAGATGAGCAGAAGAACTTCACCTTTACATGGTGGCTGTCACCAACACAAAGAAACACTCACTCAAGATGACTCACAGGAGACAGTGGCTCTATATATGACTGGAAAATAAGGCAACCTGTCTAAGCCTGCATGAATCATCTTCTAATAACTCCTCCAAAAAAAACCAAAAAAACAAAACAAAAAAAAAAAACAAAAACAAAACTAGTTGTTGATTAGCATATCTTAATTATTTATAAAATGGTTATTTTGGAAAGGAAGGATATGTGAAGCAAGAGGGGAGGGGCCAGTTGCTTTTTAGAACCCTTAATTAGTAAAAGTGCCTGCTTAAAAAAAAAAGTCCTTTATTTGAGCTATTTTTTTCACTTCTTCCTGTTGAGTATACGGCATTTTAGAATTCTTGGTTTCAACAGCAACTCAAAAAGCAATACTGCAAACTTGCACATCAAAAAGGAAAGGAGAAAAAGCGCACCATGGTTTCAAACAAAAATCAATACAGACTGAAACAAAAATACAAGAAGCAGCAAAATCACGGAGCCTAACTCGCAGCATCCTTTCGAAGACAGGGAGGTTAGTGGGTTAATACTACAGCCACCTCTAGTTACTGCCTCAGCACTGAGTGTTGACATGCTTCAGTAACGCACATCCAGAAGCGGCACATAGAGAAAAGCCACGGGCTGCTGCCTGGGCCTCCCTGTTCCAATAGACATGGATTTCCAGAGTTGCTGTTCTATGTTAACTCTCAGTGAGAGAGACAAAGAATTAGAACATTCTTAGAAACCAAGCAAAAATGGATGGGAATACAATACCTGGAAAGTTTATCAAGCATGTTGACAAGTTTCATGGCTTCATATTCTTTTTGTTCTTCTGTCATTTCATCTATAGGGTTTGGCATTGGTTCCTCTAAATGACCAGTGATAAGATTAATGCTACAAAAAGAAAAAAAAGTTATGCTGTATATTTTAGAATTATGCTCTTTCTATACTTTTTGGTCCAAATTTTAAGTTATATAAGAAAGAGTATAATAGCCAAAAATTGGCAATAATTTCAATAGTAATTTTATTGTATAGAATTGCTATAGGAATGTTTTTTATCTATTATTATTATTATTATTATTATTACTATTACTACTACTACTACTACTAGTTTTCTTTGGAAATGGGCTTTTTAAAAATTAAATCTGTCTTGCCAACTATTTTTTAAGGCATGGCTGCTTTTAAAAATTCAAAATTTGATTGGTGCCATTGGATAAATATCTTTGGATACACACCTTATTCATATATAAACTATGTAAGGGGACAAATACTTTCAGAAGCAAAATGAGAAAATCTATTTGTGATACAGCATAAAACAAACTTGTCCAAAAACGGAGAAAAAAAAAAAAACCAAAAACTGGAAAAATGATGACAGAGAGGCTGTAATCTGGAAATGAAAACATGCCAATTTATAATCTCAGGAAATTAGTCCATTAGTGAGACCACAGAGGTGATGAGTGTTTAAAACAGTAAAAGATAAAGTAGAAGAATAATTTTAATTAGGTTTGATCTGACTGAGGAAAAAAATGAAATCTAGCACACCAAGAGACAAATATGGCATCTTAGCTTTCTGGAAACAGATCTAGAACGGTACTCAACAATAATGGATTTCTATAAACTTTATATGAAGTTCTAACACCAAGCAGACTATCCTCTTCAATAAAAGGCCAGATTCCTATCTTTTCTTTCTCTGAGAAAGGGAAATAAAGCACAGCTTTCTCAATGTCTGCTAAATATCAACACCATACATTATTTTTGGGAAGACGTGAGCACAGTTATAGTATCTAGGCTGTTTAATGATCAATATCATAACACCCCTGCAGCTAGCACATTGGTAATCAACAGTTTTCTAAGGGGTTTAGGCTACAGGACCAATGTTTCCAGGGCCAGACCAGGAAAAACAAATCAGTGAGATGGTCAAGTACAAACCATGAGATGTCGGAGCTTGGGATAAACTGAAAAACTGTCATGTAAGCCAACTAAAGACACCAAAATCAAATGTTTCTCTGGTGGCCAGTGTCTGATCCCACTTGAGACTTCTCAGTTATAGTAAAGGTTAGCTCATGGGTAACTATCACTTACTAATATTAGATTTCTTTTTCTATATTTCTCAAAGGCTACACACCACAGATTCTTGTGGAAGTGTCTGCATTTGCAGTCTTAGCAAAGTAGATTTGACATCTGTGCTGTTGTTCTTAGATAGGGCCTATAACTAGAACTGTGGAAAAAAAAATTGCTCTGCTGGTTTTAATGTTGCATGCCTGAGATCCTTGCTTGGGACTAAACGAAAGAGTGTAATTTCAAGGCCAGCTTGAGTAACTTACCAAGGTTTAAAGGAGGTTGGTGGCAGAACATTTGCTAAAAATCTAGAAGGTGTGAGGTCATGGGTTAAATTCCTGGACTCCCTCATCCCCTAAAATGGTAAATGAATAAACCAAGAAAACCCCTTGTTCCCACCAGTAAACTTTGTGCAAGACAGAAAGTCGCAGAATTACTCAGAGAAAAAGGTGGGAATAAGGGCAGGCAGAAGATCTGGGGACCTAGAGGCCCTTCTGTTTGTTCCTACCCACTTGCTTCCAGGCATCCTCTACGGTGCTCTAGGAACTTTGGGGAACCTGAATATACATAGATTGATCACTTACTCCTAGTCTTGATACACTAGAATCACTTGGGGAACTCAGAGCTGGCCTTACCTTAGATCAACATGTTAAGTTCCCCACGTGATCTTGATAGACTGGGCTCAAGTGCCTGATTCAGATACTGCTCATTACTCTTTCACAAAGAGAAAGAGACCTCTAGTTAGAGGCCATCACAAAATTGCTAAAGGGATCACTCTATTTCCCAAACTTAAGAACAAAGAGAACTGAACAAAGTTTCTGAGAAGAAACGCATGGAGATGCTGTGCTCACCCATCATTATTTGCTTGGCATATGGCTCTTGCTACTTGACAAGTTGTAAAAACAGCCAGTCTCATAGGCAAATAAGACACATACTATACTCAAGCAAAGGAAACCAGGCCTTCTAGGGAAATGCAAGTGAAGGTAGATATATAAACTATGTTAACCACACTCATTTGCCACTTGAGAACAAGCTTCTCACACTGACAGGTATGATTTGAAGATTCACATCTGTAGACTTTTCAGAAAACAATGGCATTAGCACAAGTAATCATGTACCTGAGAAACATGCAGGAAGACACTGGTAAGCCCTGTGTTGTTGTGGGCCCCAAAGCACAGTTAAGAATGGGTTTCTAGGTTAGACAGAATGCTTTTCTTGGTTTCTTTTGTTTTGTTTTTGAAATGGTTTCTCTGTGTAGCCTGGTTGTCCTGGAACTCACTTTGTGGACCAGTTGGCCACGAACTAAGAGACTGGCCTGCTTTTACCTCCTGCGTGCTGGGATTAAAGGCCTGCGTTGGTGGGATAATGTCCATTTTCTAAAAGCTGCTCTTGAGTCCCCTGACTGCCAAATGACTCAGGGCTTGCTCTGAGGTTAGCTCCCAGTGACAAAGTTCCCTGCTGTCTAAGCATGAAGGCAGTATGCTCTCTTATGGAGTGAGACCTCTCCCCACAACACACATGGGGAAAACACCATAATGCCCCTCCCCACACAACACTAGGGACTCAGGGTTCATTTCTTCCTTTGAACAGATTTTTTTTTCCTTATGATACTCAAGAGAATGTACACAAAACCACATAAGACACAAGCTAGGACAATGAACTGTGCCACTCTCTCATGAGAAAAATGCCAACGTGCAGTGGCAGAAGGCAGATGAAACCTATCTCTCCCCTCCAGCCAGTCTCATACAGTCTCTGACCCAGAAGAGAAAACAAGTCACCATGATAACAAAAATGTAAAGTTATACATTTTGGGATGAACAAATACATAGCACCATTAAACCCTACAGTCTAAAACTAAACATTTATATTTCAAAATCTTATTACTATGAAATTCTGAGGTTATTTTTACTTTGAAGATTGAGTCTTAGTTCCTTTGAGAACACTAATTGTGATCAACCTTTGGAGGGTGGTCAGTTGGTCTGTGTGTGTGTGTGTGTCTGTCTATCTATCTATCTATCTGCCTTGTCTTTCTTCCCTTCTTCCACCATTCTAGTCTGGTGATTAGTAATATCTTCCAGTTAGGTGACAAGTGCCTGAACTCCTGTGGATATTAACCATGATTTTTTTTTTTTAAATAAGACCATTATATAAACTGGCATGTATGGCCCAACAACAGGAGGATTATGACATAATAAAATGGTATGAGCAAATAAGCATGTGTAAAAAAAAGCTGAAATACATTTAAATTCATTTATTCTTTTAGCTGTAGCTATTTCTGGTCAATATCAGCATCACTTAACAAAAAAGAACTACATGAAAACTTAGCTATATAAAAGTTTCAATCTCTAAAAGCAGGGTTTAAGTTTTACTCAAAATCCTGGCAAAGAAGGGGATGGCTGTACAACCATGGCTGTACCTACAGGGGAAACTGCTGTTCTGACAGGATTCTGGCTCCTTCGGCACAGTTCAAGCCTGGTACTGCAAATCAAGTTTGAAAATCTATGGCTGGAGAAGCCAAAGGCTCATTTAGCTAACCCATGGCCTCAAAACTGCCTTCTAAACATCTAGGTTATGATCCACAGATAAACACTACTTTAGGGAAAATAAACAGCCTTAGGGAAGCTTTTCTTTACAATAAATGGTGGTAACTCTTGGCCGATCAAGGTGCTGAGTAAATTTAAAAAAAAAAAAAAAAAAAAGGGCTGAACTCATCCCTAAACAAGACATTTATATCACTATGTCAAAGGCTTAGGGAATACAGAAGAACATAAGACTGGGAATAGAGGGAGGACGTACATGAAATGCTGTCTTCTTGGCATGACACAGCAATTGCAATCATTAACTTATGCAGTTGCCTGCACTGGTAAGGAACAAGGATGGGCCTGCCAAGAGTCAGGCTTGAGTGGGTGAACTTCAAGGGGGCCCTACCTTCATTGCTAAACTATTAATTACTGAAAGATTCTGAGGAAGGAGGGTATCTTCAGATATTCACCCACTGGATGAACAAGAGACAGTTCCAAATCCATTGTCACATAGATGGCTCTGGTTAAACACAGTAGATAAAAAAACAAAGCAAAACAAAAAAAACATGGATATGGGAAAGGGTTTTGTGGGGAAGGGTTGGTGACAGGAATGGGAGGGAGAAAAGAGAAAGTAGGGGTGAGAGGAACTATAATGCATGTATACAGGTATGAAATTGTCAAGCCCTCAGGGGCAAGACAGGTCAGGAAAAAAAAACACATGCTGGTATGACAGAACCTCAGTTCTATCAGCTGGCTGCTATGTGAGACTATAAACCTTAAACAGAATTTCATCTGAAATATCTGCATTCTAAATGTTGCCAAGTGACTGAATTATTTTAAAAAGCACTTTTCAAAATGATCAGAAAAACATACCACCCCCTTCCCCCGCAAATACTACATGGGAGAAGCTAAGCAAAACGTACCTGTGGGTAAAGTTCTGCTTACATGCTGATAAATTTGCAACTTCTAAAGAGCTTTTAGGAAAAGACATTTTTGTATGCCCACACCAGGAAGAAAGGCAACAGGTTCGTGGGGAGGAAGAGGCACTGTGGGGACAGAGCTCAACCTGTCTTCCCTTGGCACCTGCCCAGGATACGTGGTTCCTGCACCTCTCCAAGCAACACAAAAACAACTATCCATGCCTTGATCTCCTGAGCCCCACCTAGCTACCAGCACTTTTCCATTAGAGGTGCTAACTCAAACACTCAACAGCTCAAAACATTTATTAACGCAGGGACTAGAGAGATGGCTCAGCATTTAAGAACACAGGCTGCTCTTGCAGAGGACCTGGCTTTGATTCCCAGCACCCACATA